AGACAGACCTGTGACTTAATGCCAAGTGCCATGAAAGGTGGTGCTCTGCCTGGCTTCTATCTCAGCAGACTCAGTTAGAGGATTGGACCCTTGCTTTATCTATTACACTGCTGAATTTAAATAGTCTTTCTTCCCTTTTGAAAACTTTAATTATGTTATTTTAATATCTTTAATGAATCTTCATTACATTTTGTATTCAAAAGCTTTGAGCTTGTATAATTTATGCTCACAAACTATGTCATACTCTGCATGGATGTATACTGGTATATTGGAAAGGGAAAAAGCATTCCTGATTGTTCAGAGCTTGTTGTTGACTAATCAGAATTCTTCTGTTTGTCTCAAGATAGCAAGGTTTTGCCAGGTGCTGTGTAAAACTTGCCAATTGCACATTGGTTGGAGTTCAGCTTAACTTTCCAACTCTTTTAGGAAAATCGAAAACTTAGATAAAAAACTTCAGTAGGTTGATTCATTTATTGATCAAGCAAACTGGCAAATCTTGTTAAGATTGAAACATAATAGGCTGGAGAATGATTTTTCAAGCCAAGATCCTATTATGGGAACAAACCAATTGACCTTCTCCTAAGGTTTTATCTTTAATGCAAACAAAACTTTTTATAAACCTTTCATTCAAACTCTGTGTGGGTTCGTCTCGTGTCTGGATAGACATGTGTGAATAGTACAGTTTTTCTGAGATGCTCAGCAGCCAAAAGTTGTCATGATCTTATTTGCATCATAGAATCAATTCTTAGCTACCTGAGTTGTGTGTTTCTAGGTTCATGTAGCTCTAATGCATCTGCTAATGTTTCCACTTTACTTGCTTCCTCCTTTTACCCTCACTGATTTCTTTTATTCTGCTTATTATTTGCCCTTTGCCTCCATCCCCACAAAACTTGTTATAGGTTCAGCATTCTGCTTTGGCCTTGTTCAGCATTCTTCTTTGGCCAGTGCTACAGTTTCAGGGAAAATTTTACTTTTAATCCCTCTTGAACTCATCCTTTTGGCGAACTCAAGGAGCCTCTCCCCTCTCTGGGAGCAACCTTATGGTTCAACCCCTCTGAGACAGGACTTCTTAGTGGTATCTGCCTTCCTTCTTGTTTTTCAAATATTAGATATAATAAGCTGGTACAGAGGCCTTAATTGGTTGGGTTTTTCTCACTAGGAATCTCCAAAGTCACTGAATCTAGTGACAAATTCACAAAGCTGGCAACACTAAAGAGGCTATGTCATAGCCCAAGGTGGGCAAAATACATCCCATGGGCCAGATCCAGCCCATGAGGCCATTCTATCTGGCCCACGGGGCCCCTAAAAAAATTTTGAAAATTAAAATTTATCTGTCCTTGGTTTCTGCCAAAAATGATGGGAACCAGAGGGAGTAGGACCCAGAGGAGTCCTCGACAGGCTCCTGCAACAGTAGAGCCTGCCCGGCCCCGCCCATCCAGCCAGGAGCCCCAGCAGGGGCATCTGCCCTGGGAACACATAGCTGGCCCAGCGCAGGAAACTCAGGTGAGGGGGGGGAGGGCAAGGAATGAGGTGGTGCGGAGTGCAGGGAAAAACGGCCCCTCCCCTGCCCCATGGCCGGCGCTCCCTGCTGCAGCCACTCGTAGCCCACACGGGGCTGTCCTGAGTGGGTACAGGCAGCCCCGCGCGGGCTGCAAGCAGCTGCAGCACAGGGTGCCAACCATGGAGCAGGTGAGAGGCTGCTTTTCTCCCGCACTCAGCACCAACTTGTAACCCGCCCCCGCTGCCAGCCTGGGCCCTGTGCAGCTCCGGGCTCTCCCATCAGGGCTGCGCATGGCAGCAACAGCTGCAGCCCCCCCACTTGCCGCGCCCAGCAGTGTTTGCTGCTGCTGCCCACTCAGAGCTCTCTTGCTGGGCAGCACAGAGGCAGTGGTGGCAGCCTCACCTCAGCCTACCATGGTACAAGCTCTGGGCGGGCAGCAGCAAACACTGCCCTGTGCGGCAAATGGGGGAGTCGCAGTGGCTGCCGCTGCCGCAGTGCAGCCCTGACAGGTGAGCCCGGAGCTGAGTGCAGGGGAAGAGTGGCCCTTCACCCACCCTGTGCCCTGCGCCCTGCGCTGCAGCCGCTCACAGCCCACGTGGGGCCGCCTGTGCCTGCTCAGGAGAGCCCTGCGTGGGCTGTGAGCAGCTGCAGCAGGGAGTGCTGGCCATAGGGTGGGCGAAGGGCCGCTTTTCCCTGCACTCGGCACCAGCTCATTCCCTGCTGCCCCCCGCCTCTACCACGGGCCTGGGGGGGCACTGGGAGTGAGCAGGTGCAAGGGGCCCACACTGGTGTCCCGGGACCGGCACCGGTGGTGCCCAGAACAGGGCAGCAGGAGTACAGGGGTCCCGGGCGGCAGGGGCTCTATGGAGCCAGACCAGCTCCCCCCTCTCCCTGCTGGTGCAGTGCAGCCAAACCCAGCTCCACAGACCCCTGCCAGCCTGCGCCCTGCTCTGGGCCCCACCGGTGCTGGCTCTGGGACATTGGTCCCAAGATGGTGACCTGGGGCAGGGCACCTGTCAAGGGGCGGGGCTACTCATGCGACCCTCCACAGCTTGCCAAAACTGGGTAAGTGGCCCTCTGCCCAAAATAATTGCCCACCCCTGTCAGAGCCTCATCCCTCCAGAGATACACTGCTCCATGTCTGGCTGCCAGGGGTACACTGATCCAAAAAAGTTGAAAACCAGTGGTCTAATGTTTAGGGAACTAGGTCTCCCGTGGCCTGAGGGGTTTAAAACCTTCAGCCCTTGCTTTCTAAGAGGGCACTCTGCCTACTGTGGCTGTAGGCTTTCTGATGTGAAAACATTTTTCATCTTTTCTGTTGATTTTGGGTCACTGTTCAGAAAAAAAATCAGGACCCATTAGGAAAGAGAGGGGAGAGCATGTGAGTATGGCTATCTCTAGCTCAGTAAGTAGAGCTGCTAGAGAACTGTCCTGCTTTCTTCCTTCTTCATTTTTCCTCCTTCAAGCCGCTTTTACTTCCTCCTTTATACATTTTTATATTTCATAAGTAGTCCTTGGAATAGAGGCAAGAACCCAGGTCTCCTCTTTTTCTCAAATGGCTATACTAATGATTGGATTCCAAAGTGGTCTGACTTCTCCTTGGTATTGTGAGTCATCTTCAGTGGCTGAGTAATGAAGTAATAGCTCGGTAGTTAGGGCAGCCTTGTGTGGTGAGAGATATGGATTTGAATTCCCTCAAGCTAAGAAGAGGCTAGAATTTACAATCTGGTCCTAGGCCTCAAGAAGGATTACACCTTTTCTAGCCTGAATGAAACTAAGTGAACAGGGGACATTACAGGCACCTATACACGTAACAAACCCTATACATATTAAAGTGCCCTCGGCGCCATTTTGAAGCACAGGACACTGAATACATGTGACACGGCAGGTGCTTTAATTAAATCACTACCCTCTGCCCCCTTCCACCACCCTGGAGCCTTTGTGTAAAGACACCCTACCAGTTGTTTCATCAACATCTCTTATCTTTGTTGTTATGTTACCCATCCTAGCTGATTCCTTTAACAATCCTTTTGATTTAACACCAAGCAGGTAACCCGCCATAAAGAAAATACAGAAATGTATCTTCTGTAGTGGTGGGGGATGGCCCTCTTCCTGAGATCTCTTGAGCATATAACAACAAGCTTTTACAGGATCAGGATGTTGGCCACCATGGTCCCTCTGTGGCAGGTTAGGATGTTATGTCTTGTGTTGTGTCAAGATTGACTGTATTTTTGCTAAGAGGTTAAACAATGGATTTGTATAGGATGGTTTGGATAACAAAGATCTTGCCTTAGACAAGGGGTTGGACTATATGACTTATGGGGGTCTCTTCCAGCCCTACTCTTTTATGATTCTCTGATTCTGAGTATATATCATAATAACATGGATGTTTTCCAATTCATCTCACCCAGAGACTGTAGAATGAGGTATTCCTTGCTCTTAAACAGGCCAGGTCTGTCACTACAAAATTAATGAGATACATGTGATACAGGATGCATTCTACTTCTATCCCTATCTCCTCTCAAGGAACTTGCTACTTCTACAGCTTCCCTTAACCCCTAAAATGGGGCAGAGGTAATAAGAGAACTGCACTTACCAGGGTTGGGTAGAATTTGCTCCCTGGGGTGCATTTCTGGCATCACTTCAAGTTTGGTCCATTGGCTGCACTGCATTGTTCTGCCAAAGGAAAGTAGGAAAGAAAAAGTATTTTCTGCATATAATGCAATTGAAGAGAGAGTTACAGTGGAGAGTGGAGGGGAGGAATTAGCACTTCATGTTATTTGCTGGATTTTCTGTTCCTTCAAACATCACCATGCTGGCCCTGGTTTATTCAGATTACTTGAATATAAAATGCCATGCTATTCAGGATTGTAATTCAGTTTCTAGATGGTTGCCATTCTGCTACTGGCACAATTCCCAATCAGTAGCATGGTTAGTTCAGTTCCATTCCCAAAACATTTGCTTGCCTGGGTGTGGTAGCTTTCATTTAATTTCCTGAAGTGCTGACAGAAAAATGGCCACTGATACTGGTTCACAAATTAAAAGTAAATCAATGATGATGTTACTATAGGTCTGATGCCTGTCGGCTCCCTTTTCTCCTATTGCCACTAAGTAAAGATATTTCGAACAATCATCAAATTTATGAGGGTGTTTCAGAAAGTAACAGCAGTTTCAAAATAAAGCCATTTTGTGTCCAGTGAGTGGGAAACTATAAAGCATCAAAGAACATTGGTGGCATTGTTGAACACACCTGTCATTTACAACTATATTGTAGAGAAGCAGTGTTGTCCTGTAAATGATCCTTGCACACACAGTTCTTTTATTTTGAAATGACCATTACTTTCTAAAAGACCACAGGGTGCTCTCTGGGTTCTGGCAGAACTGACAGGGCCTGCATTACACCATCCAATGTGCCCACTTACATGCCAACTGCCATTTACCTTGCTGAGAGTTGTTCTGCAACTTACTAACATTGTACCTTTTCTCTGTTCATGTTTAGGCTGCTCCAAGGTGACATGCATTAGTCTTACTCGTGAAGCTTCAATCAAGCTGTCTCCGTTACATGGTAAACAGATCTCCATCCGCTACTTGGACATGACAGACTGCTTTGTCCTGGAGGACGAAGGACTGCACACCATTGCTGCCCACTGCACACAGCTGACGCATCTGTATTTGCGCCGCTGTGTCCGCATCACCGATGAAGGCCTCCGCTACCTAATGATCTACTGCACGTCTGTCAAGGAGCTGAGTGTGAGCGACTGCCGTTTTGTCAGTGACTTTGGCATGCGGGAGATTGCCAAGCTGGAGTCACGCCTGCGGTACCTCAGCATTGCCCACTGCGGCCGAATCACGGACGTGGGCATCCGTTATATTGCCAAGTACTGCAGCAAGCTGCGCTACCTCAATGCGCGGGGCTGCGAGGGCATCACGGACCATGGTGTGGAGTACCTTGCCAAAAATTGCACAAAACTCAAGTCACTAGATATCGGCAAGTGTCCTTTGGTCTCAGACGCTGGCCTGGAGTTCCTGGCCCTAAACTGCTTCAACCTGAAGCGCCTGAGCCTGAAGTCTTGTGAAAGCATCACAGGCCAGGGCTTGCAGATTGTTGCTGCCAACTGCTTTGACCTGCAGATGCTGAATGTGCAGGACTGTGATGTCTCTGTGGATGCCCTGCGGTTTGTTAAACGCCATTGCAAGCGTTGTACTATAGAGCACACCAACCCTGCTTTTTTCTAACAGGACCATCAGCTCCTGCTGATGACCACAAAATATTAAAAACATTGACATATAAACATACATGGCCACATACAGTAACTATCTTCTCTCAAATGGCTCATGGGAGTCAACTTTCTTGTATGTTGTTGGAGAGGGTTTAAAAATATAGATATATACATAATTTTTGGGGGGTGGGGGGGCACGGCTATACCGTCATTTTTTTCCTAATTGGATCCAGTCCCTTTGGACAAGCTTCCTTAACCTAAAAGCAGTGAGGTCTCATCATTGCAGTGCTATTCCCATGACATTCATAAGCAGTCCTAGTCCTTCCAGAGGAATAGGTCTTTTTGAGATGCAACCTAAGCATCATTAAAATATGAATTCCAGCTGTGTAGGTGATGCTACACAGCCATTATTTGTCTATAGACCTGCCCCACAAAATTCTTCCACATGGCTGAATATGACTTAACCTTATCTTTAACTGTCATCATCTTGACAATTTTTGCCCACATTCCAACAAGCCCTGTGGAAATACAAGATAGGATTTTTAAATGTAGTTTGGGTTGGCGTAACTCTACTCCTGTTTATGTCTGAGCACATTTGAAAAGCATACCTCAAATCTCTTTGACACCATGTTTGAGGATTGTGAATACACTACTGTCAGCACCACTGATTTAACACGGGCTTCTTGTGTTTGTCTGAAATCACCCTTTGCTACTATATCTACTGGGGCCCTTTGGGTGCAATAAGCATTAGGACTGGAGCAAAAGGAAATTTTTAAGGGATGTTGGAAGCAGCCAGTATCCCTTTCTAAGCCAGGGAGTGAAAATGTCAGTAATTTCTGCTTAGCTGCAGTTTGGCCTGAGAGATCCTACCTACGTTATTGCCATGGTGAATGAAGGTAGTACTACGTCATACCGGGAATTACTAAGTGTTACAGAATAGTTCATACCAAAGCAAACTTATAAGAGTCGCAGTATAGCTGTGCTGTACCAGTGCCAACAGTTTATTCACCTCACCATTCACTTGCCAGGGAATGGTGCAACTGAGATTCGTTTTAGGACGAGTGGAACCATTATCTGCCCGTGTGTTGAAATATATACTTTACTGTTCAGTATGTGTACTTATACACAGAAAGTTGCATACTTTCCACAGCCTTCCAGTTTACTGGATTGTAGATTTCAAGACTTGGAAGTCATAAACCAGCTATCAGACCACATCCTTGGGAAAAAGGGATTGGGGATGTTATCTGTATTAGAACTGGATTCCAGGAAATCATGTCTGTGTGTTCCTTCAATCTAAGAAATTCTATCACACATCAAGGACTAAAAATATCAGCACTGCCTTGTATGCCTGGAACCTGTTTGCTCCAACGGGTGTTCCTGATATAGCCACTCTCTTGCTAATACCATCAGTTTTAAAGCTTTCCCCCTACTCATTGCCCTCTTTTTTCCCCTGAACATGTGATCATTTCATCATATCATAATCATCTGGCAACTGCTTTCCCCTCTCAGATTCTGGCAAGTCATGTCAGATCTGAATGCCAGACACATTAGGAGTGATGATATTTTCAGGCAGGCAAGCCCCTGCATAAGATTGACAACCAGGTTCAGATGTTAGGCCCCAAGCACTACAAATGTTTCTGGTAGAGAGATGTGGGAAAGAAACATCCTATCTGTTTTTCATAAAAACAGTAGCCTCATGATCTCCAGACAACATTAATAATGTCACTGATATGAAGTGAAAATCCATGTGTTTAAGAAAATACATAATCACTAAGGAAATGTTGGTAGCACATGATTTTGGGGGCAACAAATGTTTGCAGAAAGTTCCCTCTTGTGAGGTGAATTGTGTCCCCATTAGGAAGAAAAAAACCCTTTACCTCATGTATATTCCTTTGCCTGTGGTTAATTGTGTGTTTCTTTCCACATGGAATATTTATCTCATGACCAAACTTGGTAATTCTAAATAACACTGTACAAACCTCTCCAAGGGACATGGGCGCATGTTGGAGGCCTCCAAATGGCCCCGTGTTCTCTTCCTCCCTTTGCCTTTGTCAGACTCAGGTGGGGGCCGCTGGTTGCTCTTTGTTTTTTTATTTATTTTTGTATAATAAATGCAAAGCCAGGCGGCAACCCTACAGAAACATAGAGGTGTATATA